TCAATGTGGTGGCCAAGAAAATCCAGACTAGTGACACCGGATAAGCACTTGTCAATGTTCAAACTTATGTTGTACGGTGACAAACGTTCAAACACTGCTCTGAGATGAGCTGCATGTTCAGTTGTGGAAGTGCTAGCGACTAAGACATCGTCAAGGTAGGCATACACAAACAGTATGCCAAGTAAACCCCCATCCATGAAACGTTGAAACGTTTGGGCTGTATTTCGAAGACCAAAAGGCATGCGCGTAAATTCGAAAAGGCCAAACGATGTTGTGATGTCCGTTTTAGGAATGTCATTCGGGGCTACGGGTATGTGGTAGTATGCCCGTACGAGATCGAGTTTCGAGGTGTTTGTGTGGCATAAGGTACTTGCGAAATCGCAAATACGTGGGATGGGACACCTGTATGGGATAATAGCGTTGTTGAGAGAACGGTAATCTCCACAGGGTTTCCAATCACCTTTAGATTTCTTAGGTACTATATTTAGGGGTGATGGCCAATGACTCGATGAAGGGCGGATGAAGCCGAGTTCGAGCATGTGTTCGAAATCGTGTTTTGCGATTTGTAGCTTATCCGGATGAAGTCGGCGGGGGTTGGCATGGACAGGTGGACCTCTCGTCTGAATGTGGTGAACGACGGAATGAGTGACCGGTTGGGTGCACTGACATGGGTGAGTAAGGTTTGGAAAATCCCTAAGTATGTCAGCAAAATGTGAATCCGGTAAGATAACTCGGATACCTGTGGATGAAGTTGGGGCACTAATTCCGTTGACTGAGAGGGAAGTAAGCGTGTCTAAGAGGCGTTTGTGTCGCACGTCGACAGATAGATTGTAATGGGTCAGGAAATCCGCACCGATGATGGGTGTTTGGGCGTCGGCCAAAAGGAAGATCCACTTGAACGCACGTCGCAATCCGATGTCGCGGGTAAGGGAACGTTCCCCGTATGTAGCGATGCGGGTACCGTTAGCGACTTGTGACGAGAAAGAAGGAGAATCGGGAAGTGGATTCTTACGTAGTAACACGCTAACTTCAGCTCCCGTATCTACGAGGAAACATGGACCACTTGAACGATCGGTGGTGCAGAACAGGTGACTAGTGCGAGGAGGGCCACAGACAGTCCCCGCCGTTACTGACTGGGCGGGGTGTTAAAAGGGGTGTTGGAACGCTGCTTGAAGGGACAAGGTGGTTGACACTTGCGTGCTTTTGGGCCATAAGATTGGTGATACCAGCACCAAGAGGGA